ATTCTTGTTGTATAGTATTGTATTATATTTACCTGAGCCTATTGTGTTTTTCCTAATGTTTACTGCTGTTAAACTTGTACTTTTTGCCATGACCTAAAAATCTCTCACGTGCGGGACTAATAAAGGCTTATCTTATTGTTTATTCTGTCCTGTTTTGGTTTATGAGTAATGTAGGTGAATGAGTTGATACTTAATTTAAAATATTGCGTACATAAATCATATATATCATACACTAAACTTGTGTAAACGTTACAGCAGCTGATAATGATAAACAACTATAAAACATTTACAGTAAAGAATTAGATGAATTAAAAACGGTATAGTAGGTCTTGACTCAGTGGCTCAGTACAGTGCAGTGGACATAAAGTGATTTAGTGTGTGTTTGGTGTTGTGACAGTACACAGCTGAAAAAAAGTGTTAACATTAGAGAGCAGATCACTTTTCCCCAGACAGACTTTGTACAAACCCCGTTCTGAAAATACTGGTCTCATGTGTAAAATGTAAAAAAAAAAGAGAGAGAGAGAGAGAGAGAGAAGAAAGCAGTGATTTGCAAATCTCAAAGCCATTATTAATTCACAGTGTAACATAGAAAATATGTCATATGTTTAAACCTAGACTATGCTATTAAAAATAACTCCTTTTGAATTTGATGGCAGTAATATGTTTCAAAACAGTTGGTATGGGGCGAGAAAAGGCTGGAAAAATAAGTGGTTCTAAAAAGAAACAGCTGGAGGGACATTTTAAAAGTAATTAGGTTACTTGGCAACAGGTCAGTAACATGATTCGATATTAAAAGAACATTTTAGAGAAGCAGAGATGATCTGAAAGAAATGTGGGCAGAGGTTGGTCAATCTGCAAAAAACTCCATTAACAAATTGTGCCAAAATTTCAGAATAATGTTTCTCAGGGTTAAGTTGTGAAGACTTGAAATATTGCATCCTCTGGAGGTATCAAAATATATTTTATCAAAAGATTCAGTGACTGGAGAAATCTCTTTGCAGAAACAATGAGGCTAAAAGCCATGATGTCAGTGATCTTCAAACGCTCATAGGAAAGTTATCATCATGGAGCATTAAACAGCCATGACCAAGTTACATGGATTCTTTTTTTTATAACTTTATGTCATACAGGTAAACTAGTTATGTTATGTGCAACGCTGTCATGTGCCACTCTCTGGTTTTATGTTTCAAATTTGTGTAAGACATCCAGAGTACTCTGATGACATTGACAAGTGTCGCGAAATCGATCAATGTAGAGCAGTGAGACAAACCACGGAGGCCCCAGAAAAGTGCAATCAAACGATGAGTTTATTAACACACAGGAGAAAACATCAGCATATGTCCTCTGACCAAAATACATGTTGTGGACACTTATAAAGCAGTGGGGTACACGCCCCCCATGGCGTCAATTACAGATTAAAATAGGGTCCAGACATTAGTCACAATTAATGGTACATCTTGTACATCTTTAATGGCTATAAACAGACATGGAACTTCTCTTTTCTATAACACCTTCCATACAAGGTAATAAACTTCAAGCCCTCAGGGTCTCTGGGGCTAATTATTGACTCTGGTCATCTGTTGCCAAGTAGAGTAAAATATAGTAAGACACCAATTGAGTTAAGGCCTCAGGCCTGACACATTCCTAGATTATATGTGTTATATGTATTGTAAGCATGCATTGCAGTTATCCTTCTATGTTCTAGTTTCCCTCAGCATGTATCACCTGGACAGTCACGCCAGTGAAGCTTAAGACCCTTAATGAACCGAACATCAACTCAAAATAAGCACAAATATGCAATGTGTATGAAATACTTCTAACCGTACTTGTAGTAAAAGTTAACATCATGGAAGGATGGAAATGGACATCTTCAATAAACAACTTTAATGCAATATCAATACTGTGAGAAATATTATTAAATGAATAATGCTGTAAAGAATGTTATTAATGCAGTTATAATGATGCAGATTATATGGCAGCAATAAAAGCATTTCTGTATCTCCACACAAGGACATCTCCAGTTTACATGGGAAATAATTATTTCATGTTCTTGAGATTACTTATTTACATCACTTTTCAGAAAACGTACATACAGGTCTGATTCAAAACTGCATATCTATTTTTTTAATGCATGTTGAAAGGGCAAAAATATTCCTGAGATACTGTTAACATTATTAAATTTGAAGGCTATTATACAGTGGTATTACTTTAAACTGAGTAAAACGGTATTTTGATAAAAGTTAAGGTCTCCGTTTGTTTCAGAAAAAGCATACTGTCATTTATTTGCTTTTATTATTTATTTATATGCCCTCCGCGGACCATCTCTGCACTGCGTGGGTGATTAGTGGCTCCCTGCACACTAAGGGCTGCGCACAGGGACAAGGCGCACTAGATTATGATCAGATCTTCCCTGGGCAAGGAGAGGTGATGAACTCTATGCCACTTTTTCATTGGCATACATTAAGTACAATGTTTTATTGCCTACGGTGGGGCAGGTCACATACTGGGTGAAGGTGGGCAGTGTGGAGTCCAGCGAGACATGATTAAAGTCCCCTGATATGAGAAGAAGAGCTTTCGGAGATTGCGTTTGGAGTTTGTGGACCACAGAGAGTCACAGGCTGCCTCCACGGATGCTAACGGCTAATAGCTCAATGTCTCTGCTGCAGAGTTGTTCTTTCACAGCGATGTGCCCAGGGGTACCACAACTGTCTTTAACAAACACTGCCAGTCCCCCTCCTTTCCTCTCACCGCTGTCTCTCGTCTTGTCCGCCCGCAGCAGCTGGAAGCCGGGCAGCCTACTCACAGAGGGAGTACTGCCACTGTGACCGGGTTAGCGTCATTAGCTCCTCAATCATATCAGGGAGCAATCTCACATTTACAGTGATTACAGGAAGGAGAGATGGTGTGTAAGGTGTCCTTCTCGGGAGACATCACCCCCGTCTCTTCCCTCACTGGGGATGTAGAGTCTGGCTGCCCGTAGCGCAGCTGCAGGGCGCAGCGCTAACAGCTGATCCCTAACGTAAACAAAGGAGCCATGCGCCGAGTGTCCAAATACAGGTGAAAAAAGAGGAGACAAAAGAAGAGAAAAGTCAACATAACTAGCACGAAGCGGTAATGCACGATGGCAGAATCTGATTGCTAAGACATAAGTTAAAGGTTAAGAGAAGTAAAGAGGATAATAAGAAAGAAGCTCAGAAATGAGCAAAGCTGCCATAACAGGTAACACAGTTAAGGTTTCAGAAAAAGCATTCTGTTGTTTGTTTGCTTGATCGTGCTTTAAACACATCAAAATGCATAGTGGGATTATAAGTGAATACTGTGACAAGCACTGGTACTGAATAGGCAATCACTTAGCAGCAAGGTGAATCGGTGATGCATTAGTGTGGTTTGCACTTCCTCTTCTTTGATTGGGTGAAATGAGTTGAAAGTAATTGGATGAGGGAACCATGGGGCATGCCCTGCATAATTTCAATAAAACGCAGTTTTAAACGCCGTTACAGCTGATACAGAACGCCGTTAAAAATGCCGTTTTTATGTGTCTTTGAATGGCGTTTTCTGCCGAGTGACGTAAAAAGCGGCGTTCAAATACAAATAAAAACGCCATTTTTTTCTGCCACTCAGATGGTGCGTTCAAGGTGCCATGTGAGTGGCAGAGTGGCCGAAAAACGACGTTCTGTCGGGACAAACGCCGTTTTTCCCAGCTTTTTAAATAATTAAATGGCATTTTTTACGCCATTTCTTAACCAAACTGGTTAGAAAAGGGGCGATATTTGGCGCTAATGGCTTGCCATACTGCTAAACCGAGGAACGCGCAATGGTGCGTGCATGATTGCAGAATTTGTAGAGTAACGTTTGGTTGCAGTGAGTGAAGATACCTGTGAATCGATGTGTTTTAATGGAGGACAGACACAACTTTTAAAAAGTTATTTAACTGTCAGATTCGGTGAGAACTGAAATGAGAAATGATGGGTGTGTCGTGGAAGGCAGGCCACACGGAGTTTATGATGAAAACACATTGCCCTGCTTGTTCGTGGAAGCTTTAAAACGGGTTTGACTTAAATTATTTTGTCTGTGAACCTCTTTTTAAATAACAGATTCTTTGTGAAGCTAAAGTCTATTATTATTATTTTAATAATAAAGACACAAAATGGACTAAATACATCCGTGGGATATGACGATAACGTGACCGGGACTTCACAGTTTGTTACCACACAATGAGATAATGTCCCACATTTTGGTTGGCTCTCTAATTTACAATGGTGAGTGCTTCTCACTGGAATTGTGAGAATTGTGAGGAATTGTCAGAAAGAGATAAACAATAATTATCAGACAGAAAAGCGGCTGAAATATTAGTTTTATTAGTTACAGTTTTTTGGAAAATAAATTATGGAAATGTGCACAAATGCATAAGACTATAAAACATACTTCATCTTCCATTTATGTATTTTTTATTGAGCACTATGCCGAAAGGGGATAAAAATTATAAGCTTTCCTTAACATGAGCGCTTTAAGTCATCATGTAAATATGCCAGATTGAGCCACACATGCTAATTTTCATCTGTCGTCACTGGCAGGTTAATGGCATAAATTAAATTAATCAACAACACCAAACATTCAGAGACATGTGAGCATGATTAAAAGACAAACACATGTAAAGTAAACACATACTCATGTAACTTAATAAAAGTCAAACATTATAATTACTAATAAAAACACATTAGAATTAAGGACCTTCAGTGACACTTTAAATCACAGCATGTTTGATTATCCAGTAATGACTGTGTTACAGATTAAGAGAAAGAACTAAAGAATGTTACGTTCCTTATTCCTGTGTATTTTATTCATCATTGTGATGTCAGTAAAAACCACCACGGATGGGATTTTCCATTAGAAAAAAGTCGGGGTCTCCCCAGCTTGTTTGTGTTTTTCCAAACCTACCCTCCCTTAATGAAGGAGGAGAGGGGCAGAAACTCTGACCCTCTGCCCCAATTCAGCAGCAACCTACCATAAACAGTACGCAGCAGTGTCATTAATCTCAGCCTGCAGAACTCCTCACAGTGGTAGGCTATATTACACTCATTCACCAACTATATCATGTTTTTAAGGATACGTTCTTAATTTCTAGTCTGTGTGACACAAAACATCCAGATGAGTGGAAGGGACTCACTGGGTTTGGTCTTTACCTCACGACTCCTCTGGGCTGGGTGTTGGTTTCAGGATACAAATAGTTCATCTGATATCAACAGGGTAGGAACTGACGTAGTCCCTGAGGACAGGAAGATAAAGTTACAGGCATGTGGACAGAGCGTGTCACACCCCAAAGAAAACTATTTGTGTTAATCAAGTCACCCGTTTGAAAACGGTGTGTAACTCCTGGCAGTTTAAATAGTTCACTGTGTCAGTCAGTGCAGGAAGATTAGAAAACAGAATAAGAAGAGGTCATTGTGAGATTTGAGAAGTTTGGGTTAAGAAGATGATCCGTATGCCTCAAAGATATTGCAGAGAGCTGGGTTTGAATCTGCCCTGAGTCTATTTACTGCCTGTCTTACACCAGTTTTTCTCCCAGGATTCCTGTCTTCTCTCCGCTGTCCTATCACAATAAGAATCACATTCTAATAAGGTGAAAAAAAATTGAATCTCAGTTTTTTTTTAGATGCCAACAAGCTGCATTTCATTGCAAAATAAATGGATATGCTGTTTAAAGCAGATGACAAGAAGCCTCACACTGGAAGGAATAACATATATCCTGAGGGACAAACGGAAAACTTTGTAAAAGATTTGGATTTTGCCGTTCAGTCAGAATGTTCTGCATTTAGTTAGTTTTATCCTTTGATCTGACGCGGTGACTTCGTTTGAAGTGTTTCTGAAGCATGTGAAATGGAAAGCTCTGAGGATCCGTTCTCTTTGTGTTTGTTGTCTCTGGAAATCTTTTCTTACTTTT